TGTTACACATTGTATACCACACAGTGTTACACATTGTATACCACACAGTGTTACACATTGTATACCACAGTGTTACACATTGTGTACCACACAGTGTTACACATTGCATACCACACAGTGTTACACATTGCATACCACAATGTGCCATACATTGCATACCACAATGTGCCACACATTGTATACCACAATGTGCCACACATTGTATACCACAATGTGCCACACATTGTATACCACACGATGCAATAGATGTTCAAATGCGCTGAAGATCAGATTAAATGATATGCTCATTGCACCACTGAAAGGTCATTGTAATCACAATGATAACATTGCAAGCAATATTGTGTGATTGTTTACGTCTGGAAAATATGTAACCTTCATTTAATTTTGCGTTGTTGATGCTACCGGTATATTTCTGGATGGATTTCCATTACTAATTCACATATAAATGTTGTCTTTTTATTTTTAGAAAGCCAGTAAGGAGAGTATGATAGAACATCAAGAGCAAATAAAAGAAATGGTTGGTAATGCTGGACTGAGACAAGATGAAATATTTATTAGTCCTGAACATTTTTCGTCTCTATTAACACAATTAAATAATTACAGGCATCAATGTGACATGACAGATGTTGTGATATGTGTGGGTGAGAGACAGTTCCCTTGTCATAGAGCAATTCTTGCTGGATGTAGTGAGTTTTTCCATCAACTTTTACAGACTCTACCTGCCTATGCAGAAAGTAAAGTTCAGAAATTAGTTATTGAAGACATTTATGTTGATACAGTTGACATATTTTTGAATTATGTTTATTCTGGTGTGGCTAAAATCACTGCAGATAATGTAGAACAGCTGTTGGACACTGCTAAGTTTTTTCAAGTTCAAAGATTGACTGAAGCCTGCACAGAATTCCTCAATAAGCACTGTTCATGAATGGATTTGATATTTTTGTGTTGTATTCTTGGATATGGCTGTACAATAAATAAACATGCTTTAAAAAGGGATGGTCAATGCAGAGTGTTTGAATTCCATGTAAGCAAACATATTTTACATGTGTTGTGTACATCACTATGAGTTCCATATCAAACACAACGCAATGCATCCTATTAACATTTTCACTGCCAGTTCCCTCTTTTCTTCACAAAATAGTCCTGTTATACTTTGCAATTTCCTTCAGAAAAAAAAAGCCAAATTTGTTGAGTAAAAAATATAAATTGACTCAAATTTTATCTTTTTGGCTCTAAAATTGCGGTTAATTTCTGAAAATATTGAAAAATATGAATAAGTGCAGAAAAATTTGTGGTGAACAGGTTAAGGTAAAGTGAATATTAAAAGGTGGACTGGTTATATTACTTATATTTTACCAGTCCTTATTTTATTTACACCGAGATATGAGGCTCTTGGGAGGATTACAATTTACATTTATTTTTCATTAATTAAATAGATATACATGTCACCATTCGGATTTACCTCTGTGTGTCAGTCCATCAATGTTTTTATGCATATTTATTTTATTCATCCGACTTAATGCCCATGCTTGATTAAGCACCCATCTCTTCACTTTTGGGACATTTCTGTTCTCCAGGTCAAATTCATCTAAGTGTCCATCATCTCCAAACAAAACCTAGTCTTTGATAATTGTTTGACTTTTCCCAAATAACTGTACATAGACTGTTTTTCGACAATGTCTTGTTCACAACCGTGAAAAGTGGTAAATACTAGTACTTACTTATTACATATTCAGTTTACCCTTTAAAAATTGCAAATTACTATTTCTTTTTTTTTAAATAATCCCCAAAATCAATTTCAACAAATCTAACTTTGAAACTGATAATTGACTTACACATTGCAATATCGGAATCCCTTCGAGAATTCTCGTAGAACTAAATTCTACAATACAGCATTCTGATTGGTTATTAACACACTTTGACCTAAAGGATATTTGTGCAGGTCAAATCATTTAAAAAACATAATGAAATTTGCTTTACGTCAAGAGTTTGCAGCTTTAACTGTTTTCACAGATCCTAATAAAATTAACATCCTAAATATTTGAATAAAATATGTATACACATGCAATATTTGTGTCATAAAATGGCCATACTACCAGTTGAACAGATTTAAATAATTCACTACGTTCAATTAAACACCATAGACTCCGGTCAGTCAAAATGACTATTTTGAACTGTAGGCATTAATCAGCGATTCTGTCGGTGACGGAGAGATAGAATCTAGGTCAGGGGAAGCCCCATGACCCCAAGATTCGTTTTCCCTTGCGTCACGAACCACGTGACCGAGCCCATATGGCGGCGCCATAGACGGCTGTACAATCACTCTTCTTTTTCTCCGCATCGAATGGAAATCAAGTCTAGCAAGCTCTGCCTGGATCACCTGCTTTTTTTCCTGTCCGGGTTTCTAGCTTGGGTTGTTGCCTTTGCCCGGCATTCGACATTGTAGCTGGTTTTACCCGCGTGTCATTTTCCCCTTTGTAGCTTAATCACTTGTTGGTTTCGTAACGTCTCCTTTCCTACTGTAATTCACTTCCCTCATGCATGTCATCTTCATTGTATGCTTGATCTAGGTATTTAGAAATGAATAGTTGTAATGACCAGGTTTTATGCACCAGGGCTCGCTGCCGTTTTTTTTGGGTATCCTCGTGTTTTGAGTCGACTGTGCAGTGGTTATATTCAGAATTTACTAGCATAGAACCCGCATCTGAAATGCTTTTGTCGTAGTTGCGTGCGGGGTTCGGGTTTTTTGCCGTGAAGGCATGTGTTTTTTCACTGGAGGTTTTTTTCAGAGACATCAAAATTGCTGAGACTGACTGCGTCGCTCGTTTCTTCACAGCAAGGTCGCACAATCAGTCTCACAGTCTGTTTTTTCAGGCGGTGGTTTACCCGATTTTAGGCTGTGACCCTGGAAGCTTTCCTCCTATGGGGCCCGTTGCGGGTCCCTTTGTGGACCCTTCCTTGCACGGCGCCGGGTTTGCCTCCGAGTTGAGGGCTTCGGTCGAAGGACTGTCGGGGCAATGGCGTCCCTGGCAGGCCGGGTAGATCAGACGCAGTCAGAGTGAGCTGTCTCCACTGCGGCCCCCTCGGTGGGCAAGCAGGAAGAAACACGAAAGCATGTTAGCATTCAAACACGTCTCTTCCGGGGAACCCCTGTTCCCAGTCACGACGCTCCTACTAATTTGGGTGAGGCCGAGGCTCAGGCTAATTGCACCAGGACTTCTCTGGAGCCTCAGGCACTAAATGCCAACGGTGTGCTGGCAGCCAAGACTCCGATCTCAGGGCAGGGCACACATTGACCCCCCTACTTTCAGCCAGCCAAGGTTCGTCGCACGGTAACGGTACAACGGTAATGAATTTATCCTTGTGTCTGCTCTCCGCTGTGGGTTTTGGACTCCCTTCTTACCAACCCATAGGCGTCCCCAAATGGAACCGACCCTGTCATGAGACGCACAGTCGAACATGCTCCCTCTCACATATTTAAAGTGAAAGGAGATGCAGTTTGCTCGCGTTCTACAGCCGGTTCTCTGGGCGGTCTCTCAGAGTCTTCCATTCGTAATGTCTCGGTGAGCCACACTTTCGGGGTGATGCAGAGTATCATCAATCCCAGTGATACGATGTAAATACCCCACCCTTGATCCTAAGGCGACCACCTAAGGTTGCTTCAATGCTTAGGGGATCACAGGCGTCGAGATCCAAAGCAATCCCGTTGGCATGTCTCTCCCTGTCCGTCTTAGTGCGTGGGCGGGCGTTGGTCAGCCACAGAGGACGTAACGCTTAAGGCCCCCGGGTGGGGAAAACCTTAGGCAACTCTTCCCACTGGACCAAAAGCTACCCGGTCGGTGTTATTTCGCGATCAGACCCCATAGCATGGGATCAGACCAAAACGCCCCCAACCCGATCCCAAGGCTCCTTCCCCAGACTCCGGTACCACAAATTTCCATTTGTCAAACCTGGCAATAAAGGATAGCTGCGTTCCATGGGCGTTCTCGCCAGCTCAATTGAAAACGACTCATCCAGCCATGAGGGCAGAGTTGCTCGAGCGCATTATTGTACATTATTGTCCAGGACTCTGGAGACCTCGGAGACAGAACACACCAGCCTCCTAGACCAGGCAACACATTTACTCGTGGGCCACCGCACATCTACATGCGACATCCCCTAGTGTCACCTGGCTCTCTTGGCCGAGCCACTACTGTGCTACGAGATGCGGCCTTAGACGCACGTATTTTCGCCGACGCGCTGAGTCAGGGGGTACGTCCCCACCTCAGTGACGCAGACTGAACATCTTCCACCCTCTTTGTTCAGGGAATGGTGGGTACAGTCTCAGAGCTTCAGAGTGCAATGAACCAGAGGTTTCAGATCAAATCCGCTAGCCAGTTGGTCCTGCCAAGGGCAAGCAGAGGGCACCCCAAGCACAGAAAACACAACGCCCTATTGGCGTCGTCCGCTAGCCAGAGTCAGCCAGGAGACAAGTGCTCATACCCTTCCATGGGAGGGAAGAGTAGTGGCACGCCCCCAGGGAAGAAAGAGCTCCTCACTCTCCCTGGGTGGACGTCTAACCCGGCAGCAGGGGAAGCGTGTTTGACGCTCACCTCTGCAACCGGGGGGACAGGCATGTGTTCGGCCAGTGGCCAGGTCACAACTTAGTGACTACCTCAGGCCTTGGGGAACTCACCTCATGGGAGAAGAGAGCACCCCCCTCGCAACTGCCAAACCCATGGCCACATATCCCTGTCGTACACAGATTGCTCCGGTGTAGTCCGGTTTGGAGACAGCGGGTGACCGATCCCTGGACCTTTCCAGGTGGTGACATCTGGTTACGGGATATCGCTGAAATCTCCATCTCCCCCGTCAGTGTCTCCCCTGTTGAGCATTGCCAGGGGACTCCCGCAAGGCGGAAGCAATCAGACAGGAAGTAGCAGTTTGCTGGGAAAAGGCGCCATACACAAGGTAGATCAGCCGGAACTACATGTAAATCCAGGCTTCTTCCTAAATGTGTTCGTAGTACCAAATCTACAAGTGGCGGGCGTCCAGTTCTAGCAGACTGAATCAGTATGTGCTCTTTGATCGGTTCCACATGGAGACACCATTCAGGGTTCTTCTCTCCATCCACCGTTTCGACTGGATAACCCCACTAGACTAGCGGGGCCTACCTGCACATACCAATGCACCCAGCGAGTGGCCATCTCCTTCGAATCGCCTAGCTGGGCCAAGTATTTGAATTTCGAGTGGCCCCCGTTCGGGTTATGCACAGCGACCTACGTGTTCACCAGAGTAACGAAACAGGTAGTGCTGCAGCTTCACCAAATGTCAGTACACCTCAATTTGTTCCCAGACTACTGGTTACTACACAACCCGGACAAGGGGTTAATAGCCAAACACGTCAGGCTAACACAGGATTTACTTCACCATTTTGGCTTGTTAGTAAATCGACAAGTCCCACCTCGACCCAACACGCAGGTGTCCCTGCCATGGTGTTTTGACACAGAGGTAAGCTTGGTTTAGCTATTGCAAGCGTGTTGCTTAGCGCTAATCAGCCTAGCTGAATGCCTAGTCAGCGTTCCCTCAGTGTCCCTCCGAGAACTAATGCGGATCATCAGAATCATGACCTCGATTCGAAGGGTCGTTCCCCACACCGCACAACGCAGCCACCCGGTATAACGCTTGTTATAACGCTGAGCTCTCCTATGGGAACTAGATAGGCGGGTTTTGCTCTGGGACCAAGTGAAGGAAGCCCTACCCTGGTGGTCATCACTGGCCAACCTCGGACAGGGGTGCCCCTTGGACCCGCTCGCCACAGGTATGACTCTGGTAACTGATGCCTCCTCCCAAGGTTGGGGAGCGCATCTACTGGACGAACAAGTCCAAGTATATGGCCCACATTAGTTTCGGGACTACCATATCAACCGGCTCGAACTGAAAGCA